ACTTCAAATATAGAGTGTCACTATTCAAAACTTCAAATTTGAAGTTTCATATTTTATTTACATTTTGGTCCTTACAATTACACATCATATTTATAATAATCTTAAATATTTATTATTTATCATTTTAATCCTTAAAATTATTATTTCATAAATAATTCAAAATTATTTTTATAAATTTAAATTTTCTATTTAAAAAAAAGAATCAAAATAATCTTTAAAATATTTTAAAACTAGAAGTAGACATCAACAATATTACATGATATAATGTGGTATTTTGTTTGTACTTTAATATTTGATTATATATTTCTATTTATAATTTTATATTTTAGCGTAACATTTTATCAAATGATATTTCTATAATATTTTTATACATGATAGTTATTTATAAAAGTTTATGAATTTGAATTAGTTATGATAAATATAAGGACCATTATATAAAATACAAATAATTTTAAAGTTAGGTTTGAAGTTTTGCTTTTGGAGTATAACACCTTCAAATTTCAAATATAGAGTTTTGCAAACTCTATAATAGAGAGTTTTTTTGGAGATGCTCTTAGAGAGGAATATAGTTAATGATTATTATAACCTCCGTGATTTAAAAAAAAATGATAACTGACCATCTTGGTGATATATAAACCTAGTATAGTCCTAGTTTTTTTTTATATTCCCTATCAATCAAACACATTTAATGTTATAAAGTGGATTCCACATTGTCTGAGCCTTAGATAGGCTTTTTTCTTCTTTTTAGATACAACTTGTCAATTTATATTGCTGTTCATAAACAAGTCTGGAATTTGGGGGTAAACTAATCTCCACGAATAAAAAATAAGCTTCTGATTATACAGTTTTAGAAGTGGTCTAAACCACAAAATGACCAGTTTATATAACAAAACAACAAGGATGATAACACACACAAGGGTCTGCAGAGACCATCTCCAAAAGACTTCAATCCTTGGACGTTATAACAAGTAAACCCAATGCACCTATAAGAATATACTTTATTATATAGTCACCCATCCAACGTAAGGCAAGAACCCGACAGCACGACCCATTATATGATGTCGATGAGCCTAGAGATAGTTGTATGATCATGGATCATGTTTGATGATATATAGATATATAACTTTACTCACAACTTGTTTATGGACCTGAACTTCATCTCATATTAGTAGGTTTGTATGTCAGTATTCCAGTAAAAGGTATTGAATAGTATGCAATTCAACTACGATATTAATTCGTGCGTTGCTTCCAGTTTTCGTAGATTAATATCTATGTTTGCATAAGCATGATTTGTCAACCAGCCATACAGTCTGCCTACAAGTTTATGCTAGGAACTTTTTCGTAAAAAGTATATGCATTTGTAGATGTTTTAGGCAGCTATATATTGATAACTAACTTTTATAGTGATAGTCATAATAGTAGCAAGTAGAGTTATTAAAAAAATTTCCTACATATATATAACATGCAAAACATACAGACGAATGCTGCAGATCAATAATTATACCAAGGAGATGAAACAATTTTAGTATTCATGAAACAAAAGAGTAGTGTCGCACACTTTGTAAATGGATGGAACTGAACACGAGAGTGATGTTTTAACAATCTCTTTCTTCACCATTTTCGTATAGTATTGCCTCTCTAACCAAGCTTCTGTACTCAGAACGTGGAAGTATATATTCTTGTGACCAAATCATGATTTTTCTGTTTTTGTCCCACTTTTACAATCATCATTTTACTACAAAATGATGCTCTCTAACTTTTATTTCATCTTCTTTGATTCGTCTCCATTTTTTCTCCCATCAATGGCTTTTTCTTACTATTTGCGAGTTTTTGAAAACAAGTAATGAGTCATTGACATGTTGGTTTTGAATATTAAAATTTATTTAAAGATTTTGTTTTGACATTGCATCCACGATCTTTTTTTCTTGCCACCATCCAACACTAAACTCCTTATTTCTTATAAGTTCATATATTCATATACCTTATTATTTGTATATTCTGATCCATGTTTTCTCCTGATGTTGTTTGAAATGTTTTTCAATGAGAATATAACATTAATAGTATGTGCAATTAATTATAACCAGGAAGCACAACATTTTAGTCTGCATAAGTTATTTTGTAGGACGAATAATATATCATAAGTTATGTCAGAATATATTATTTAAATAAAAATAATTAACCGGTAATTTAATATTAGTTATTTTATTTTATTTTGGTTAGTCAGACCATCTCAAATTTGAATTTTTTTGATGTTAAAAAAAAATCAACATGTTTGTAGGATCACCGAAATACTAAAGAAACTAAGCTTTAATAAAGATAAGTTTAACTTGAAGAATATATAATATAGAAACTCTAAAGGTTATAAATTCGATTGGGAGAGATTTACTCTCCAAACAAAAATTATATTATATGATTTGTGCTTCTCCTTGAGTGGTTACGTGTTTCTGCCCAGTCATGACATACATAGGACAAAAGTATATCGTTATGCTATGATTAGATTTGTGGTAAACTATGCGATTTCTTCTTATTACAACAATATATGTCATGAGAGACAGGTTGGATATACAAGGGATTTGAGTGTTTTCCTGTTAATAATATTCTTCAATGATGCTGATTATAATTTCTTAAGACTCGAATTAAGCTGGTAGCTTTATATAAAATATGACAGTTTTAAATAAATCATGATATTATTTAGAAAACAGTTATCTTTCCTATAAAACGATACAATGAGAACGCATTCGCTATGATAATATAAGTTTCTAAACACTTATTAATTGTTGTTCTCGTGAAACATGCTCAAAATAATCAAACTTATGTTTGTTTTTACATTTAGTTTGCTAATTTTTCGTTACACGTTATACCAACACCATCAATTTAAGATCGAGGAGAGATTACAAGTTACTTCGACAGCTACTAAACTAATATTGTCTATGTAAATTAGACTATTGGTGGTTACGCGACCAAATTATTGCATAGTGTAAACATTTGTGGCTAAGTTGAACAACTTACGTTCTCTAAATCAAAGGTATCTCTTTTGATATCAAATTCCGGGAAAATATAAAATTTTGAAAAGCACCAAAAGTATTAATTTCTTTGTCAAACAAATAATATATTAACCTTTCGTATTTTTGGGGGACAAATAATTATATATTCGTACAATGCTTCCATTGAAATGAGTCTACTAATTGTTGAGCGATGGCTTCCCTTTACTTTATTTCCCTTTTCTTTTTTGCTAACTGGGAATTCTGAATTTTGTGTCATAGTATATTGTATCCCTGAACAATAATACTCATCATTTGTTAACATTAAAATTGACAATCATCTAATCAATTGGACAAATTAATTTCTCTCTTTTGAAACAAGGGTTTGCATTCGTTTAATTTTAACCATTAAATTTATATTATCTTCATTAGACGATAAGTTTTATTTTTCTCAAAATTAAAATTAATTTTGTACATTTAATATAACTCGTGTTTTACTTTTACCCATATAAGTATATAACTTTAGGTTACTAAGTGGGGAAATAAATTTATAAGTATATAATGGAAGGTAGGGAAAAATATATATGTGTGTATACGTGAGTGGAAAATTTTAAATCCACAATGTAATATGTTTATAAATTCAGAAAAGATAATTTTAATTTCTTCTTTTTAATTTAATCGTAGTTTTATAAATAAATTCTTAATATTTATTTTTGCAGCCAATGTATGTCTTTATTATTTATCTGTCTATTGAGAAAAATAATTAAAGATTACTATTTTTATCTCAAAAATATTAACCTCTGTAATTCTTTCTATTTTTGTAAATGAAACAAATAGTTTTCTACTAGGTTTTTAGTCCCCCTCTTGATTTGTTTTCTTCTATATATGGTGGCCCATAAAAGGTGTCAATTAATTCAACCAACGATTAGAGAAAAAAAAAAGTATCACACCAGAAATCGCCAATCACATTTCCTCTCATTTTATAATAATTTCTCCATCTTCTCCCTTCCTCTTCTACCTTATAGAACCTTCACATGTCATAAAACTCTCCATCTCTCTACAGCAATCTATAGTAATATATTGCTTCTTGTTTCTTCACTACTCTTACGAATCAATTGCTTCGTATCAATATTACATATAAAATGGGAAGACATTCTTGTTGTTATAAGCAAAAGCTTAGAAAAGGACTTTGGTCTCCTGAAGAAGATGAGAAACTTCTCAATTACATAACTACACATGGTCATGGCTGTTGGAGTTCCGTCCCTAAACTCGCAGGTTTTGTTTCATCATGTGCTCTTACATTTAAAAAGTTAAATATATGTATTATAATATTTGTATATATATATGGTTGGTATGATCATATAGGTCTACAGAGATGTGGAAAGAGTTGTAGACTTAGGTGGATAAACTACTTGAGACCAGACTTAAAGAGGGGAGCATTCTCTCAAGATGAAGAAAGCTTGATCATTGAGCTTCATGCTACTTTAGGGAACAGGTTAATTAAAAAAAAAATTAGCTAGCAACATATTTATATAGAGTTTCTGAATACATATATGTAATAATGTAAAATTTTGAAATATATTTCATTCTTTGGATTGTGTGTAGATGGTCTCAGATTGCAACTCGGTTACCAGGAAGAACAGACAACGAGATCAAAAACTTTTGGAACTCATGTCTTAAGAAGAAGCTGAGAGTAAAAGGCATTGACCCAACAACACATAAGCCCTTCATAAACGACCTTCAAACTCTTAACGTCATAGATCAGAAGTTGCCGTCATCAAAAACTTCAGAAGTAGTTAAGTCAATGGGTTTGATAAAGGACGCACATGATCAGTCAATGGTCGTCTCATCACAACCAGATCCTTGGTGGTTCCCGGAGACAACTACTACTACGGCTAATCAAAACGCTGCGTTTTGCTTCAGTTCAAGTACTATGCCAACGGTTTCAGACCAGATGACTTCAAACTTCAACTACTTCAGGAATACAGTTCCATCTCAGAGCAACAGTATTTACAGTGCTTTCTTTGGTAATCATTACAGAGAAGCCAGCCAACTCTTGAATAATAATAAAATTAATAATAATAATAATAATAATAATAATAATAATAATAATAATAATAATAATAATAATAATAATAATAATAATAATCATTATTATCATCAAGACATGAAGGCATGGGCATCAGAGATTCTTCATTACACAGAACATAACCAAAGCTCGGAAACTGGTTTAGAAGCAGAAGTGAAGCCAGACATTGCCAAGTACTACTTGNTAATAATAATAATAATAATAATAATAATAATAATAATAATAATAATAATAATAATAATAATAATAATAATAATAATCATTATTATCATCAAGACATGAAGGCATGGGCATCAGAGATTCTTCATTACACAGAACATAACCAAAGCTCGGAAACTGGTTTAGAAGCAGAAGTGAAGCCAGACATTGCCAAGTACTACTTGGGATCATCATCATTAAACGAAAGCGCTGCGAGATTACTGCATGATGCTGACGTGGATTTGTACGGTAAAAATATCCAGAAGCTTAATAACATGGCGTTTGATCAGAGCCTTTAGATTATTAACATGTGAAAGAAATCGAAATAGTATTTTTTTTTTGTACATATATGCTTTTGGCTGTGTAAATTTTCTCCTCGTGTTTTATTTTTAACGTGGTTAGATGTAATTAATATTTCTACATATTTATTTACTTTCCGTAAGAAATGTTATCTCAGTAATTATAAAATTTTAAAAGTAAATAGAACAACACACAACCTACAATATAAAGTAAACATGTCCCAGTCGAGATGGACGGTGTTTTTCTTTAAGGAGAGGTACTAGATCGGAGTGGGGACTTCTTAAAAAAAGTGATTCCGGACAACGAGATGCATGCGTGAGAAATGAACCAAAGGACCCATATTTTTTTGTTTTATTATTACAACACATGTCTAGTGTTTGTGTTCCTCAAATAGAATTTCATTTTTGTTATTTTTATTTTATATTAGACAGTGTCGTATTTCGTTTATACAGATGATAATTTCCATAAACTGACTTAAATAAAATTTTGTATATAAAAAAATAGAATTAATTAGGGTATGTTTTGTAAGAAACTAGGGATTCACATATCTTTGATTTACTATTTAACTATTACGTTTACTTTAGATATGGAATATTAACACTATAATTTAAGAGGGGTTAAAGACTTAAATCAGTTTGACATATAATCTAATTGTTATTTAATACGGACGAGAAAACTGATCAAATCTCAAAGGGGTTTATAGTTATTTTATTAGGTAACGTAAAAGAAAAGTCACTAAAGATATGTATTTCTTAATTTAAGAAGTTTTGGGTTTTACTACTTACTTTTCTCTAGCTATAGACAAAAAAAAAAGAGAGAAAAGATTACATGTTTTGTCTGTATTCAGATTCTGAAGTCAAGGCCTGATCTGTCTCTATCCCTAAAACTTTCTCTAGATTTAGCCGGTTGAGCTATTGAGACTGAATTATAAGTGACAAATGTGTGGATGTGATTGTTCATATTAGAATGGATCGAAGTCCATATCGTTTTTTTTTATCAAACCAAACATGCATTAACATAAATATGTTTACTCTTCATTAAAGGAGGATTCTGAGAAGTGAAAACAATGAGTATGAGAACTGTTCATACGTGAAGCAAACTTTGATCTCTCTTTCTAAAGTGTAGACATAACGATATAGACTCCGAAGAGAGATATGTTAATATCAGAAGAGTGTACTCTTCGGAGAAATACCAGAAGATATATCGTGCATGTAGAAGATATGTTAATATCAGAAGAGATATGTTAATATCAAAAGTATTTCTCCCAAGAGTTGTGTCTACACTTTAGAAAGAGAGATTAAAGTTTGCTTCACGTATGAACAGTTCTCATACTCATTGTTTTCACTTTTCAGAATCGTTTTCCACAGTTATGAAAACGACATGTGAAAATTGGAAGATTTGTGTAATACTCCCTCCGTTTTTATTGTGTTTTATTAAAAAATATGAAAAAAACTAGAATATAGATCTTTTAGGAAAGAAGGAGTACTATTCTAAACGAGAAGAGAGCATGTAAAAAGAATAATTTACATGTTAATGCATGTGAGTTCAAAGTTTCCATGCATGAAAAAATAATTTACATGTTATCGTGTCTTAATTTTAAACCAAATAATTTAATTGAAAATACTTTTTCATATTTGGTCTTAAAATCATCTCATTCATCAGTTGATGTTAAAGAAAACTGATAGAATATGTTTTTTTATCAAAAAAAAAAAATCTATCATTTTTCTTTAACATCAACTGATGAGTGAGATGATTTTAAGACCAAATATGAATGATTATAAATTTTGAAAGAAAACTGATAGATTATAAATGATTATAAACTTTTTACAAGTCTCATACTCTCCTCAGGTTATGGTAATCGTTTACCCAATAAAAGAAGTCACGCGGGTAGAAGGGACCCTTGATCTTGTAAGTTTTATTTTTCGATCTTGTAATTAAAATGGTGAAATGCGTAATTCGAAATCGAACGTGTCTACTCTTCTGACAATATCCCACTAATATAATTCACACGAGTGCAGCTTTTGAGTTGGTATTTTAATTTTTGGAGGTGGACATATGCTTGCAGAAGAAGGGACCCTTGTTGTTGACACAGTCTTGATAAACCTGGAACAGCCATGCGAAGAGTTGAGACGAGTAAGCAAATATTTAACTAAAACATATATGTTCCTACGTTCATGATTTTATTATTAGTTGATGATATATCAGTTTAAGTGTTTAACCAAGTCTAACTTGTCACATGTTCAAGACTAATGTAAATAGGGCTGGGCATTTTATCCGTTATATTTGATTCGATCCGTTATTCGTTTCGATTCGATCCGAAAATTCCGGATATCCGTAAACTTTCGAATCAAAGCAAATACTAAAATTTAATATCCGTTAAAATCGAAGCAAATCACAAATATTAAAATTTTGTAAAGCGGATATCCGATCCGATCCGTAATATATAAATATATGTATATTTTGATTATATTTAAAATTTTAATTGTATAAAATTATAAAATTATTAATTTAGCACATGATTTTGAACAATTCTATTCAAATGATTACTTATATAAAAGTATTACATAAAAAAGATAAAATATTTTTGACAATTATATTTTTGTCTTAAATTTNTGTACTAATTAAAATGAATGAGATATCCGTAAATATTCGTAAATATCCGCAAATATCTATTTATTTTCCGGATATCCGTTTTTCCGGATATCCGTATTTTTTCGAAGCAAAGCAAATACCAAAATTAGATATCCGTAACATTCGAAGCAAATCACAAATACCTTAAAAAACCCGGATATCCGATCCGTGCCCACCCCTACATTTATGTGCATTGGTATTGCTCATGATCATGGACTTATTATATATTTGAGTATCGAGTTCGAGCCTGGTGAAAATGATGTGACTGTGAGCAACTTTTTTTGAAACACAACTGTGAGCAATTATATATATAATTTTTTCGTAAGCCAAAATCAAAAGAAGAGATAAAAGTTACATATAGTGTCGGCTATTATTAGATATATGTAATTAACTTTCATCTCTTCTAGGGATCAGTCTACATGTATGTGTTTTTTTTTTTGAAAAAACATAATATATGTAACTTTCATCTCTTTTAAGAATATATTTGCCTCCAAATGTGGACAATCCACATGAGATAAAATACTTACTTTCACTCTTTAACCACTTCAAAATTGGTATCAATCAGCAATGAATTTTAGCGACAAATTCTTACAACGAGTTAACCCTGATTTATTATGTTGCAGGTTCTTTTTTATACTGTACGTTAGTATCCGCTAATATATATATATATATATATATATATATATATATAAGTATATTTGAAATTTTAAAATAGCAAAATGTTCTCGCAGTTACCATCATAAGAAGTAAATAATCCTAGTCGAAAAAGAAGTAGATAATTAATCCTCAAAAGAAGTAAATAATAAAACGAACATTCAAAACATTTGTGCAAACGATATCTATTTTGATAAACAATTTTCTTATAATAAACAGTTCAATAATACTTCTCTCAACAATTTAATAGTATTATACGCAAATTATCATTTAGTAGTGTTTTATATTTATATAATTTAATTATGAATAGAGACAAAGGGATGATATACAAAGCAAAGAATGACTAGTTCTTTTAATATTTCCTCCAAATTTGATAGTTTAATTAGAATATAAATACAAAAACTATCTAGAATGTCGACAACAACAAAAAAACTCTAAATTTTTCAAAAGCAACGTTTATGAGTTGATCATCATTTCATTTGTATTATGAAGTCTTAGAAAAAGGTATGTTTTTATCCTTACACCTCATAATTTCCATGTGAGCCAAAATAATTGAGGCCCTACATTGATCATAACTTCATTTCTATATTACAATCACAAAATATCACTACAGCTCTCTTGTTTTATTCTATCATTGTGTTTGTAAAGTTTCTCAACTTGTCTTATAAATAAGAAGAGCATATATATAGATATATATATATGCTGTTGATTTTCAAAAGGATCGTTGCCGTTTTAACATGGAAATGGCGATAACGTAAACAAAAAAACTAGCTTATTGATAAAGACAACGATGTGGAGGTGTCAAGGCAATATTATAAAGTTGCATTATCAATCAACCAGTCATGTGAACTTAACATTTGAAGCGTCAGACTAATATCTACTTTAAAATATAATATTTGAAAAACATTTTTTTTTTGGGGTGCAAATGTTAAAATAAAATATAAACATTTCATGCGAAAACAATGCTATTTCAGCTGAATTTGTCAAACTTAATAACATATATCACATAAAATGTTTTGGTTACAATACAACAACCAAAACTTATATATATGAATTGGTCAAACTTGTTGAAATATTTCCAAAAAAAAATTATATCCTTTTTTCTTATAGCATTTGACTTAAAAGCTAAAACTTACATGTAATTCATATTATAACTACAAACAAACAATTCTGTTCGGTTACCCAGACCACTTCAAGTTGCTTGAGTAATACATCAGCTGTTTGATGCAAGAAAAAAAAAACTACAAACAAACAAATGCGTGTTTAATTTCTGGAAAAAAAATGGTCAAAACATACTTTAAATTTCATTTGATCTATGACGTTGGTTATCAACACTAATATCAAAAATGATTATGTTCAGACTCGGTCTTAAGGCGAAATGATCAAAACAATTAACAATAAAGTTATGAACAAAAAGATTTGTGTTTGTATTTTCTTGTTCCTATTTGTATGCAGTTGCATGTTATGAACACGAGTGTTTTAAAATATGGTTAGAGGCTTAAAAAATAAAACTTTCTTACATTTCCTCCTTCATTTATGCTTCATAGTTATATTTTATTTCTTGAAATGACTTATGTAAATTGTTAAAATAATATTAAGTAATTTGAAAACTTCTTTTTCTCCATCTCCATATGTATTTTACTAACTAAAAGATCCTTCACATGGAAATCGATATATTTACATATTTATTTCCTCCAAAATAAATCCAAAAGGACCAAACCTCTGAGAATGCATAGGTATATAGCCCATGGGCCTGAACTACTTGATAGACTACATTGTGTTAACAGACCTAACATGATGCATATTGTGGTGGGGAGGACTGGAGTCTGGAACTGAGATGCTTACGAATGAAGCTGGTGAAGGGCACTATCACTCTGTTTAATGTGGTGCCTCTGTTTATGTAACGTCTAGCCATTTGCGTGTTACACTATGTCTTTTCAAATGATATTTAAGCCTTGGTTCAGAAAACATGAGAGGTGCCAATAACAAAGATTCATCACAAGAAGAAAAAATATTATAAAACATGATCACATAAAGAAACTATGTCAAAACCACAAGTTGCAGTAATCTTACATGAATGGGAAAGAGAAATTTCAAACAATGGTGCAGCCGCTTCCGTTATCATAAGTACTAACTGCTACCATGTCACAAGTATTATTGTAGTAAGGAAGGTCACATGTATTGTAGTAGTATGGAAGGCAAGGTTTGCAACACTCTGGCTTCTTTTCTTCTGGCTTGGTCTCTGGAGGTTTTGGTGGTCCAATGTTGACTACTACTGGTTTCTGTTTGATCTTCCTAAGCTGTTCTGCAATGCATATGGGATCCATTGTACCCACTATTGTAAGCAAACTCTTCTCTTCATCCAGTTCAACCTGATTCACACCTGCATTCAAAATCTCAAATCATTTTATTGCAGTTTCTCTCAATATATCTGCGGATTTTGTAACATAAATAATAATAATAATAATAATAATAATAATAATAATAATAATAATAATAATAATAATACCTTCTAGCTCTGTGACAGCTTGCATGATTTGGTTTTTGCATTTTCCACAGTTGATGTCCACTTTCATCTCGACTTTCTGCTCAAAACCGAACCAAACAAAACCGAATGAGTCATGAAAAGAAACCATATGGCTTATTTCATATTAGTAGTATGATTATGTATATGTTACCTTAACCGTCATAATGGAGAGGACTAATGAGGGAAGGATATGGATTATGGGATTTAGAAATGAATAGAGGAGAGGAAACTTAGAAACATATATAGAGTAGAGAGATGGATGTGAAGGAAACGATTTGGTCTCTTAATGTTCTCATTTCTCTACATCTTCCTTTAATAGAACAGTGTTGATGAGCGACTTGACTTCGATATATAAGTCTTTACATCCCACACTTTTTTTACGTCAACGAACTCATTGTAGGTGTATACATATGTGATACATGTATTTACATATAAATTGATTAATATATTTACAGTTTGAGTTATTAAATTATAGTTTTTCTTGGTAGCAAAACCTGGTTGATATATAACATCTACTATGGACTCAACTTGAACTTGTGGTTTTGTTCAAGAGGCAATTTGTTAGTCCTAAGTATATCAATTTGTAATTGACCGTTTGTTTTATATTTAATAACATATTAGTATGTTGTGCACACAATGACATTTTAACAGACAAATCTCTGTCGGTCAATTCAGATTCCGGTTCAATTAAAAACCGGACCGTGACCAAAACAAAACTTGTTGAACTGTATAACGAAATAACCAACCAACTTCCACATTTTCTATTTATTTATTGAAACAAGTTGTTACTTCTGAGTTTGGTGATTTGGACTTTGGTTATTACCAGGAGGATGATAAGTTATTTAGGTGACTTGCCACGTACGGTACTAACTACAAAACCTAATAGATGTTAGATTAGATGTCTCTTTCTCTCTACAGTAAACAAACCCTGTTAATCACAACGGTTTTACATAGTAACAAACCGTTAAACCCTTAAACCTAATCTTGTCTAAGTTAAGGCCTAATCACACCTTTTACAATTAGCCTAAAAATAAACATTCAAAGCTTCAGTTACTTATAAGAACATCCAATTTTAAAAGCTTCTCCATTCATTGATTTATTCGTAATAACAAATTAATCAAGAAAAAAAAAAACTCTTTTCAGAAGATAAACAATAACAACAACAATGGCGTCTATTGCGACCCATCTTGTTGTTGTTGTTACCATGTTGGTCTCAGCCGTAGCCATGGCAGAATCTAACATGCTTCAAGATGTTTGTGTTGCTGATTTATCCAATGGTATTTTACTTCAATTATTAATCCAACAAATCATTTTTTTCTTCCTGTGTTTCAATTTCCACAGCATAATATTATTTTCAAAATTATGAAATTTATTATTCTTTTATTTGCTAAGAACTTTTCTCATCCTAATTTTTAAATATTTTCTCTTTGAATTTTTGACAAATTATGAAGCGGTCAAAGTCAACGGATACACATGCAAGGACACAACACAAGTAACACCAGAAGACTTCTACTTCCAAGGCCTAGCCACCGCAGGAGCCGCTGCCAACACCTCCACGGGCTCCATAGTAACCGGAGCCACCGTGGAGAAGCTACCAGGACTCAACACTCTCGACCTCTCCATGTCCCGCATTGACTACGCACCAAACGGCCTAAACCCACCACACATCCACCCACGTGCCTCTGAGATCATCTACGTCCTAGAGGGTCAGCTCTACGTAGGCTTTGTAACAACCGCTGGAAAACTTGTTGCTAAATACATTAACAAAGGAGAAGTCTTCGTTTTCCCTAAAGGACTACTTCATTTCCAGAAGAACATTGGTAGGGCGGCTCCAGCTTCTGTGATAGCAGCTTTTGATAGCCAGTTGCCTGGAACACAGTCTCTTGTGTCCTCTCTCTTTGGTGCTCTTTCTGACGACATTCTTGTTCAGTCGTTTCAGTTTAAACCCAAATTGGTTAAGAGGATCAAGTCTAGATACCAACCCAAGAAATGAGACAAGAACAGAACAGAACAGAACACAATCAGTCTTCTTATTTTGTTTCTCCATTGTAATACACAAATCAAAGAAGAAAATGTTAAGTTTGCAACTTTTAAACTAAAAGCAAAGAAGATTCTTGTCTTGATTACTCGCCCTGTTTCAGTAAGATCCATATTCTAGAGAAAATATTTATTTCAAAAAAATATACTTTTTACATTTTCAATGCTTTAATTAATGATAAATTATTGATTTCAAAAAACTTAATTGTGTATATTAAAATTTTATTGGTTAAAAATTATGGAGATTTATTAACTACAAAAAAATGATAAATTAGTAATTAAAATTTTATATACTTTTATAATGTGTGAAAAATCTAAAATATACAATTTTCTGAAACTGATATTTTTTAAAGAAAATTCTCAATAAAACTTTCATCAAATGGGACAAGAACAGAACACAATCAGTCTACTTATGTTTTTTCTTCATTGTAATACACAAATCAAAGAAGAAAATGTTAAGTTTGCAATTTTAAACTAAAAAGGAAAGAAGATTCTTGTCTTAGTAGATATTTTTTTAAAAGAAAATTCTCAATAAAACTTTCATAAAATGGGAAGAACAATGAGTTTCTTCAATTAGTGGGCCAATGGCTGATGTTGCCTTCCATCTGGGATAGAGAACAAGACAATGGGTTTTGAAGACTTGACAAAAGGCACATCACATCTGTAATAGCCTTTCCTCTCAAGCTGAATCACATCTCCACGCTGCAGATTCCTCATATTCGAATCACCAAGTGCTAATGTTTCCTTCTTCGTGTAAGGATTCACAAAAGTAGCAACCTCATCATCTTCCTCCAACTGTGTTATAAAAAAAAATCAGTGATTCTGAGAGAGAAACACAAAGTAGAAACACATTCTTTACTTACCTTCTTCTTGGTGATTAAATAATCAAAGTCTGTTAACACAAGCTTGACCAACTCATTAGTCTCTGGAAGCCATGTGAGCTTCAGCTTAGTAGTCTTCACAGAACCTTGGAGATTCAGAACGCCTGATAAAGCAGTGACACGACCATTCTCGTCCTTTGTGACTTCCTTCACAATGGCGTTTCCCCAATCCATCAAAGTCACTTCCTCATTGACAGAGATGGCACTCGCATCAGCTCCCTCTATCCATATGCTCTTGGTGAAAGTGGTTGCCTTCTCTCCAGCACCTTCAAACTTCTTGTGCTTTGGTATTAACCGGACAAACGGCTCGTCAGGACCATCAGTTAGTGTCAATAGGACACGCCTCTCTTCAATCACAGCCGTGTGTCTAGGACACACAGGATCAACTATCTTCTTGTTGATAGACCAGAGCTTGTCCCATTCCATCAAGTTTAGATTCTTTGAAGCACCCTGGAAAAGTTTATCACAGCACAATTGTTATTACAGAACACTTAAAATCAGTAAACATGTAATAGCTGAAACTATTTTCTTAAAATCGGATTTATGCTTCTCAAATCGGTTTAAACCGTTTTAAATAGCTTAAACTACAATCTAAATCGGTTTAAATCAATCTAAATTGGTCTAAATCTCATAAATCAAACAAAAATGTTAGTTCTCGTCCACAATTTTGTCTAATTCCTTCTTTATTGTATATCTAATTTTTATAATTCATCAAAATAATTTTATAATTAAACCATAAAATCTAAAATATCTCATATAAAGGTCAAACAATATATGAAAAATAAATCAATAACCTCGTCCTCTATTAAAATCCTAGTTCTTTCTTTTTGTATATCCAATTTTTATAATTCATCGAAATAATTTTATAATCAAACCTAAAACTCAAAAATATCTAATATAAAGGCCAAAAAATATATGAAAAACAAATCAATAATTTGTTATCTCTAGACTTTGCCTAGTCTTCTATTAAAAGACTAATTACTGCCTAACACTTTTTGAACACTGATCAAAACATAATTGTTATGACAGAACACTTAAAAAGGATAAGTAAAAGGTTTACCTGCTCAAGAATGAACTGAATCAGTGCCTCAATTTTCAAACCTCTACGAACAATGCCTTGAACAGTAGGGAAGCGTGGATCATCCCACCCACCAACCAACCCTTGCTGAACAAACCAGAGAAGCTTCCTCTTACTAAGAAGAGTGTAAACAAGATTCAACCTACTAAACTCATAAATCTCAACTCTTCTCAATCCCATATCCTCCAGAACTTTATAGTACTGAGCATTCCTGTCATGATACTCACTAGACCGAAGAGCATGCGTTATTCCTTCAATGGAATCCACAAAGGGACAAGCAAAGTCATACGTTGGATAAATCTTATACTTGTCTCCTATACGGTGATGAGACATAGGGTTGCAACGGTAGTAAACAGGGTCACGCATAGCTTTGTTAGGATCTTGCATGTCTAGCTTCCCTCGAACACAGCATTGTAAACCTCTCTCACTTCCTTTAATCATCTCTTGCCATAGATTCAGATTCTCCTCAACTGTATGGTTCCTACATTTTGAATCAATCCCATCCATCCTCTCCTTCTGCATCTGCTCCCTAGGCGTGTCGTCAACGTAAGCCTTACCCTCACGCATGAGCTTCTCCGCCATGGACATCAGCTCAGGGAAATAATCAGAAGTGTAGGTCACTCTCTCATACTTGATCCCCAAGGTACCTATATCCTTGACTAGATTTTCAACAAACTCGTTGCTCTCTTTGGCAGGGTTAGTGTCATCAAAACGGATAATCACTTCCCCTTGGTAACGCTCTGCGAAGTACTTGTTGAGCAAGGCAGCTTTAGCGTGTCCTATGTGGAGATAACCGCTTGGCTCTGGAGCAAACCGGAGCTTGACTTTTCCAACTTCTGCGCCAGGTAAGTCTACTTCAGGCTTCCCTTTATCATGTTCTGCTCTAACAGCTTGTGGTTGGTCTTTGGATCTTGGTGCAGTAGCAGAAACAGGCTTCCCTGAACTTTTCTTCACAGTATATGCCATCACCTTGTTGAGTGGCTCGGCGTACTCAAGTGATATTGAGTTGAACCATCTGACTAAGTTCTGATACTTTTTGGATTTCCTCAAACTCTCCCATCTTGGACCAGATCCTGATCATGATAAACAGTATGTTACAAGACTCTAGTGTTCTAAAAATCGGTCTAGGTGGTTCTTAAACTTCCCCCTAATCAGCAAATCGGATCTTAAACGAAACAAACTATATAAAAATAGGTCTAACCATTCAAAAAATCGGTCTAGGCGCCTGCATAAACAATAATTCTCTATAAGACGACTAATGGTGTCTACGCTTTAGGCAAATCGGATCTTAAACGAAACAAATTATATAAAAAATAGGTCTAACCATTCAAAAAATCAGTCTAGGTGCCCGCGTAAACAATAATTCTCTATAAGGAAACTAACCAGCAACATTGACTGTAACTAATGAGATTTGTTAAGCAAGTTAATGGGATACAACATACCAGCAAGAGCAGACCAAACAGCAACATCAGCAATGGAGAGAGAACGACCAACAAGGAAAGTGACACTTTGAAGGTAGTTATCGACACGTGTGCAAGCATTCTCAAACTCTGAACCAGAGGAGAAGACTGAAGCGTAATCTACCCACTCATCAATCTGCAAAAGAGTGATCCATAATAAAGGTTGAGACTTTAAATAAAAAAACTACATTCATAAGAAGAATAAACATAATAAAGGTTGAAACTTTAAACAAAAATCTACAATGAAAAGATTCATAAGAAGAACAAAGATAATAAAGGTTGAGACTTTAATAAAAAAATCTACAATGAGAAGACGGAACATAATAAAGGTTGAGACTTTAAAACAAACAAAAAATACATGAGAAGGTTCATAACAAAGAAAGATAATGAAGGTTGAGACTTTAAACAAGAATCTACAATGGGAAGAAGAAACATAGTAAAGGTTGAGACTTTTAACAAAAATCTACAATGAGAAGATTCACAAGAAGAAGAAACATAATAAAGGTTGAGACTTTAAACAAAAAACCTACAATGAGAAGATTCATAACAAGAAGAAAGAAAATAAAGGTTGAGACTTTAATACAAACAAAAATCTACAATGAGAAGAAGAAACATAGTAAATGTTGAGACTTTAAAACAAAAAAATCTACATGAGAACAATAAACTTAATAAAGGTTGAGACTTTAAACAAGAATCTACAATTAGAAAGATTAGTGATGAGACCTGTGAAGATTGAAAAGCATCGTGACCGTAGAAACCAGGAAGAGAGTTTGTTGATCGACCAACGTGTCGGAGAAGAACAGAGGCTCCTGTCAGTTTTCGCCTACATTCAGACAAATGGGTTTTAGTTTCAGAGGGAGGAAACAGAGGAAAGAGATTGGGGAAAAGAGAGAGTACCCATCGGAGAAGAGGAAAGTAGGGACGGTGGTTGAGGAGGAAGAGGAGTCGATGGTCACAGGAGAGGATGAGAGGGAGAGAGCAGCGATTACTGAGAGTGGTGGAGTATCCGGTGAGAAAGAGAGCTTGATCTCCTCCATGTTCTGCTTTCTTCCTTTGTGTTTTGTGAGAGAGGATGAGAGTTAGAGAAGAGCGGCGATAAAACCGATTAAAAAGAGTAAAAAAAGGTCAAGTCTTGTGAGTCTCTTAGGGTTTTTAGAAGTGGAGAGATTCAATTTGTAAACTTTTTTTTACCACTAGAGTCTATAAAGTATCAAACTTTACATTATTCATCTCAATTTGTAATTGAATTATTTTTACTAGTTTTGTTTAGACAACAAGAAATTGGCTTTTTCTACTTAATATTTCCACACCAAAGAGAGACATCACATGTTTTGAATTCATTACCACTAACCGCCGCTGTATCCTTGCAATACTTTGGCTCATAGTTTTCATGTCTGAGTGGCTGTTTTCAAGAGAGTAGACGAATCCGCTTAAGCTAAGAGGCGTTTAGTTAAATGTTTTAACTTCATGGAAGATGAGCATTTAACTGTAGTGGCGGTTCAGAGTTTTAGACACGTAGTGTATGTCATAGACTCATAGGAAACGAATCAGAACAAAAAAGCTCTGTTCCAATAGGCCTAAAGATGGGCTGTATGTACCATATACACACATTCAGCAAATCTCTTTAAGATGCAATGCTCAAACTGCTGCTTCCTGTGAATGGTCCTTGCAATACTTGGCTCATCTCTAATAGCACTTATAGTTAACAATGTTATTAGGCAAGTTAGTATGCTCTTCAATCTCTCTATATACATCATTGATTATGACTAGTTTTCATGTATCAGTGTTTGTTTTCAACAGAGTAGATGGAATCCGCCTTTGAGCTAAGAGGCGTTTAGGGTTTAGTTAAGTGTTTTTTACTTCATGGAAGATGAGCATTTGAACTCTTCATAAAGCTCTAATGCAGAGGTGCTTCAGACACGTTAACATGCATTGCAAATTGTTGAACTCAGTGTGTCATAGGAAACGAATCAAAACAAAACTCTGCTCCAATCGACCTAAAAATGGGCTCTAGGTACCATACTCATTCTAAAACATCATCAATGAGAGACTCTCTCTCTCTCTCAACTCTTATCCAAACCCTAGAACAAATCAAAACCTATTACATCACAACAGCCATAATCTCGCTACATTCAGTCCTAGACTACTTATAACAATATAGACCTATAGGCGAAGTCTAGAGCACCTGAACTTCTTCAAATAGAGCCAATGTATGATTCAATAATCATCTTAACATTTGGAATATTAAAGAAACGAAAAATCATCCAAATTCGTAATGACATAAGCCAATTTAAATTCTATAAATCAAGGGAATGATCTCCTAAGATTAGTCAATTCAATGAAAACTGTATAACCTCACAGAATCAATCATACATACAACATACTCTGCTATAACACATCATTGGTCTATAACATAAAAAAAAACACTCATAAAAGCATTGATTGGACTTAAACCAGATGAAGAAATAAGTTCTATACAGATTGAGCAACAACAAATTTAAAAAGAATAATTCCCCACCACCAATGATCATCAAACAAACTTACACAAAAAAAAATCATCGATGTGGATTACACTCATCAGAGAAGAAATCATTCTTCTCCAACATAACACGCATCATCTCATGACTGAAACATTCATCATTAGGAATTTTAGGATCAGAAGAAGAAGGAGAACCCTCCTCCTCTTCCTCCTCCTCTGTTCTGCGATGTCTCATCACAGAAAAGCATCCTCCTTTACACTCCCCAGAACTTGATTTCTGTTTCTTTCTGAACCTCTCTGTAAATCCCTTCTTGGGTTTTGTTACTAATTGATTCCCGTTCTCAACACCATCTTTCTTCTTCTTTGTCTTTTTGTTGTCGGTAACGACTCTGTTCTGTTCAACCAACGTAATCTCCCCGTGACTTCCAGGCATTAACCAGAAGATCGGAATCGAACGCAGAGGACGATGAGTGGTTGAGTAATTGAGAGGAACAGGAGTTTTGATTTTTTTTTTTTTTTTTTTAATTGTTTGCTTGTTGTCTCTCTTACACGGCTTCACTTCGGTTTCGTTTCTAATCAAAAAACCTTAGCTGTCTCTTCTCTCTGTCTCTCAAATTAATCAAAAGACTTTATTTTATTTTTTTGGGTCAACTAATCAAAAACTTTATTAATTTCTTAATTTAGTAGATTCCGTATCCCTAGTCTTTTTCTTTAATTCTTTTTCGAGTCAAAATCATTCTAATTATTATTGTTTAACAATCCGAATATATACTGTAATAAGATAAAATAATATAAATCATGACACTGAATATCTCATATCATTATTTCTAAAGAGGAGATAAAATAATATAAATATCTAAAGATTTTAAAAATAAAATAATTCAGTATAGTTTATAAAGATTTTGAGATACATGATATAACTAATTTTTAATATTTATAGATGATTACATTTTTATTTGTGTCAAGAAACTCATGTTAAGAACAAAATCTCTACTGGATATGTTCTTATTATGTAAGGCATAATTTTGGTTTTACCATTCTCTTTTAACCAATTGTTATATTAAACACAACATGGATACATATTTGATTTTTGTTGTCTCAACTAAATTTGGTTTTTAGCACTTGTTGTGAAGAGTCTGAAAGATGCATAGAGCTCGTTGAGCTTATACCAAATTAGAAATCGTTCTGAATTGATTTATTGTTGATTGAACGTTTTTAAAGGAAAATGCATATAAATGGTGAATTATTCAATCACTTTCTTTGGAAATACAAAGTTTCAACAACATATTAGTCAAACAAAAAGGTTTCAACAACAGATTGTCTAGAGTTTAATGAGCACAGTGCACCTCTTCTTACATGACTTTGAGAAATCTACAACTCTTATTTTCTGAAAACATAGAGAAAGCTTAAGTACTGCGCGCGAAGTGATACTTCATGGTAATAACATTTTGGGTGATAAACATTGCCTTTGAAAACGAGTCTTCGATGAGATGTAAACAACGTTGCTGACTCCATGGCAAATTATATACGAGAATTCTGACAAATATTAGGAGAACAACAAAAAAACAATATTCCGATTGTGCACCAAAATTTAACAAAAAAAAAACAATATTATTAGTTGATGCATGGTTGATTCATGACTTCAACCTTTTCATTTAGTAAGTGTGGCAAGAAAAAACTGCATATTACACAAGTATAACCGAGATAAATACACACATATATACACATTCATCAAGAAAAAAAAAATTAGGGTCTAGTGAAGAACAAGATCATTAAAACCACGTTTAGAGGCTAAGCCAATAACACACAACATGTAAAACACTTTCCCACTTTTCACTTTTGCTTTTACTATTGCCTTTCCCTTCTCCACTCTCATTTTAGCCTTAACCAACATTGGCTTCTGAGATTCTCCTAGCCACTCTCGTTCTTCTGCTTCTGGTTCCTCCTCTATCGTCTCGAGTCTCCCCTTTAGTATCTCCTCCAAGTCTTTCCCCAAGTCACATATACTCTTCTCCTATCAAATCACAACATTTTTGTTTTTAAACTTTATGTCTAAAATATTGAAAATATATGAATCCGAACCACATTTTTTCATTACATATACCTCAAAGTCGCGGTGTAAGTTCCTCTTGTTCTTCCTTCTATGAACAATCCACCACATCTTCCTATACACCAAGCTCCTCATATAACCCTCTCCTTAAAAATCGTTTCTTCTTGAAAATGTTATTGTGCCCTTTTACAGCTTTATAATGATACTTCTTGATTCCCTCATAGTGACCAAAAAAGTTAGTTACTTTACAGACAAGCTTCAATCTTTAAATGTGTTGCTTCTCATTATAACACATAGTAGGGTAAGACATGCGCCTTGCGCAGGGTGAATATATGTAACTAAAATATAAAATTTTAGTACTGACAAATTTAAAATTTACATATAAATGTTTTTATATGTATTTGAAATTTTAGAATTTTGGAATTTTTATATAATTATCTATACGTAGGATCAGAAACAATTGCAATTAGAACTGTAGATCAAATCTTAGAATTTAATGGACCTGACTTCATATATCTTTTCACTTTTCAGTGTTCGAGGGATGCAAAATAAACTGAGTGTCACTGGGCTTGATTGGTAGAGTGTTAGCAAGTTGGTAAAATATTTGCATTTAAAATATGTAAAGTTTCAAAACTAATTTAATATAATTTATTTATTTGTCTATTTATCTTCAATTTTTTTTGCTTGTTGTGTTTTTTTTTATATTTTTGTTATTACTCGATATAAATATTTGTTTTGAATTTTATTCTCATTTCATTTTTTGTTTTGACCTGAGATTTAGAAAATACTGAAGATTTAAAATAATTAAAGATATACATACCTAGGTTAAGATCTGCAATTTATGCACAATAAGTATTTTATATTTATTATTTATTTTGTATTTTTATGCATATTATAAAATAATAAAATAATAAATATATATATTAAATAACTAAGAAATCAGTTCCTATTATGTAATAAATTGGTATATGCATATAAATTTAACTATCACTCCTGTTTATTCGCAATTAGGGTAAATAAATCAAAATAATCAATCTTATATATTTTATATGATATATAATTAAATTTAAATGATATAAACATAGTAATATAGCACACTTTTAATATATATTTATTAAATTAAATTTCTACTCATATGATTTTATAATTATTTGCATATTTGTGTAACAAAACTTTACAACAACGCATTTTTTTAATGTGAGATGTTTAGTAGTTTCAATAATTTATAATCATTTTTTAAATAATGACATATTTCAACGTTAAAATATTAAATTTTCAATATATGTTCAAGGCAAATATCAAAATATAAGTATGTATTTTCATACGATGTATAATTTAATTAAAATGATATGAAATATATATAAACTAAAATTATTTTGCTCAAACCAAACAATGTTCATGGAATAAATAATGTTCATGTCATGCTCAAACCATGTTCATGTCATGCTCAAACCATGATCCTAAAATTTTATGTGAGACTTTTAACAGTTTTAGTAATTTATACTCATTTTGAAAAATTTGAAATACAGCATACACAAAAAAAATTTAGATTTTTATTATATGATTAATGTAATTGTTTAAGTTATTTTAATAATAAAAAATAAACAAAATGAGAAAAAGTATATAGATTGTTATCAAATCTTTATTGTTTAAAATCATTAATTGTCATATATATATTTTAATCACATTAGGTAATTCCATAGGTTTTATTTAAGGAAAGCATGCAAAACAATAAATATTTGATATGTGCGACCAACTATAACCTACAAAATATTATATTGCTAGAGAGTATAATTTTTAGACTATATCTTATATCACATGCTCTAGAATCCTTGGAATTTGAAATAGAAGACAAATAGCTATGCCACATACGATTGTGGTTATTTTTAATTCTTATAAACTTAAGGTTACAACTTTTTAAATGATTCTCAATTAATATATAGGGGATATAAAAAAACAAGGTGGTTGTCATAAATCATCACATTCTGTTTTGTAAAGTCTTTATGTTCTGTAAAGTGATTATCTTCTTTATCTATTGCTATCTCTCTTCTTGCCTTTTTCTCTCCCTTAATTGATGCTTTATCTGTCACGCTTAATCTCCAGCAATCATATTAAAATGCTATACATTGCAATTAACATGGCCAATGGCAGTTTTAGTGAGATTATGGTCGATGGAGTGTGAACTTCCTAATTATATATAACAATGAAGGTGTTACCAAAAAATAAATATATATAACAATGAAGGAGTAAAGAGGACTTGCTCTTCCATTTGCTGTCAAGTCTCAACCATAGAAAAAATAAGCAAAAGTGAACCATCATGACTCATAAGCATTTAGTTTAACATTATTATAAGTAGCATTTGGTTACAGTTTCATCATTCATCTGTTTATGATCTCTTTTTGGTCTATACAAAGTCAGAAACGTCAAAACCTCAGCTTATTCTCTAATACAATAGGGAATCCCCAATGAGAAGAGAGAATGAGATTGGGATTTGGGATAAAAACCCTCTTTACATTTTTCTCTCTTATACTTGAGTAAATGCTCTTGTGGACCTTCACGTAACGATGATGACTTAGCTTCTGGTAGCGAGATGCTGATCTTATTGTTGTAGTTTAGAAGATAGACAGAACATAGAGAAGAAGATGTATTCAAAGATGAAGTGATTCAGAGTAGCTCTAAAACTAAGGATGTACTTAAACGAGTAATGAATCAATGAGATACATCTGAGTAACAAAAAAAACACTTTGGTGATGATTGATGAGAGAAAGTGGCTTCATTAAATGATAAGAGAGTGAGGGAAAGACGCTGAACGCACATGGCTATATTCCTGCTTTGTGTTTATTAAAAGCCACAAATCCTCAAATCTTATGAAAGTTTTGCAGTTCTTGTAACCACATAAGGCTTTAATAGGCTCTCAAACGTCAAGAAGACAAATTGTAAAACTTCTCAAGACTCTGCAACTCATCTAGTTACATGTATACGAAGAACGTTTCTGGCTGCTAAACCATTCATATCCTATTGTATCTATAAACCAGGCAAGAACAAGAAACATGCTGCAAGAGAGAAATGCCAGTAGAAGACTCATCATATAAGGCTACAAAGAGTTAACAGGCAAACTGGTTTAGAACCTCTTTCATATTATCCTCAAGTCTCCTACACACCTGAATCCAGCTATTAGGAGCATGTTTTGTACATTTCAATGGTGCTTTCTACACCTCTTACTCCTATCTAGTCCCACTTTCATTTGCTGAGGGGACATTGCTGGGGAAACTAGATATATCAATGTCAATGAGCGTCATATCATACATTGTATCTAGAGAATCCGAGGCGTCAACAAGTAAAGAAGACTTCATAGCTTCAGAGCGTGCAGGATCAGATGTTACACTGGAGCTTTTCGGTGAGCTTGCATTTGAAGATAAACTACTTGAAACTGAAACACCATCTATCTTGTTTGCAAACACAGGTTTGTTCTTTCTCATTGCATCCATCTCTTGACCAGTTGGCACAAACGTTCTCGACCTGTACTTCTTTGTCCCTTCTTCACCACCCTCGTTATGATTGTAGAGCACGTAATCGTGATAAGTAGGAGCAAACTGTAATATAACCAATCATCAGGAAAACCACAATGATCATAACTATTTTGAGTTATAAATGGTTACCTGGTGAACAGTGTCATGGTAAAAGTCATTTAGTTTTACAGCATGTGATAGGCTCCCTGAGAAACTGCCAGATCCACCAACGTTTGCACCTGCATACTCCTTGTATGGAAAAGCATAGAAATGGCATGCTGCAGCTATAAGCATCTCAACACATATAATAAAGTTTTGGAAATGAGCTGCTTCCTCTGCGGTCTGTATGAATCCAGATTTTGCCGCAAGAAACACTAGAACACCCTGTACAAAGAAGAAGGTCACATAACAAAATTAGGAAAAAAAAACAAAGAAGAAGGTCACCGAACCGTGGGATTTTGTAGGATTTCTTAAAACCGGTTACTTCTGTTTTCTTCTTGAAACAATTATACCCAAACCATACTTAAAATCCTAACGGATCTAACCAAACTTAATCGAAATAAACCGAATTTATCTGAAATTTTAACCAAATTAAACCAAAATAAAAAACTTCAGTAGGATTTTCAAAAACCGAACTAACCGAAAACCGAACTTTACTTTGGATTAATTCAGTAAGATTTATGTTGAACCAATCTAACCGAAAACCGAACTACCTAAATCGAATAACCCAAACTAACCAAACCGCATGCCTTTCAAAAACAACCATTTGTGGAAGATAGCATTTAGTGTTGATGTCAAGTTTACCTGCCAATAAGTTAGAAAGACCACAGACTTAATGATCACAAACTTTGGGACCGGATTAAACGGCTGAAGTAGATCTCTGCACGCCATGTAAAACAGCACAAGTGCGTACAAAGCCACTGTGTAGGATATGGTATAGATGATGGTAAGATAGAGATACGCTTGATCAGGGTTAAAATTTCCATCCTTGTACTTCCCTTTTGCATAAAGCACAAGTGTGACAGCCACTAGAATCGGCTTTAGAATCACAAATTGCAAACAACCTTGCTTGCATCTTCTAATAAAACGCCTGTAACCAAAAAAAAAAAAAAATATTTCACCACTGCCTATCTCAATAAGTAGAAAGAGTTTTGGTTTCATTCCACAAACTTACCCGTCTAAAGACAATGGAGGGAAGCAACAAGTCATGAGACACCATGATGGTTGTAGAGAGCGACCACTTAAGCTAAGAACCACTGCTCCTGGACCTCCAACCCAAGCCAAACACAGTGATAAGAAATTGTAAATGACCCATGCTTCATAACTAAAACACACAAAAAAAGAAAAGAAAAGTTATTAGAGAAATTAATGTCACAATGCCATTGACACTATAATGAAACAAGCCAAAAACTCTATAAACTATACCCATGCTTCATAACTGAAAACACACACAAAAAAAGAAAAGTTATTAGAGAAATTAATGTCACAATCCCATTGACACTATAATGAAACAAGCCAAACTCTATAAACTATACCATGATTCATAACTAAAACACACAAAAAAAGAAAAGTTATTAGAGAAATTAATGTCACAATGCCATTGACACTATAATGAAACAAGCCAAACTCTATAAACTATTGAGGGACTCAAACACACAGTCACACAAAAACTGTTTTAAAGTTGCAAGATGAATAAACTCACACTTCTCGTATGGAATCAAAGTATATGGAGCTTGTAGGAAGCACAAGAGACAAGAATGACATGAACGCATAAACCTAGCACATGGAAACCAAATCAAGAACTTGTCAGAGAACTAAAACAATGTAAACAACATGTTAGAGACTGTGAGAGTACTAACCGGGACCATGAAGACGATGCGTACAATGTATCTCTGATAAGTTGGCTCCGTGTAATTCAAGAGATGTCTGTAAATGTGGAATATAGCCAAACCAATGGCTCCAACAGTACATAGAAACGCCACAATGTTGAGATAAAACGGTATCAAATCCGCCATTTTCTGCAAACAAACAAACAAAAAAGTTAAATCTTTATATGAACAAACTCTTCAAACTATGTAATCAAGCAAAAGGGTACAAACCTCTACACTAACTGAGTCAGATCTATGAAGAAAAAAGTTCGAATTTTCCTCAAAAATTGAAACTTTACAGCGAAATCGACGAGCCCAGATTTTGTAATCACCAAAGTTGGTAACTTTTTTTGGTGGGTTTGATGTTTTGGGTATGAATCGATCTGTGATCAAACCCTAGAGAGGAACCCAGATGTCGTAATTAGTAAAGTCGGAAACTTTTCGTGGTGGGTTTGATGAATCGTGGAGGAAATGAGAGGATCTGTGATTTGGGGAAGAGAGTAATGTAACCGTAGTAACTAGTAACAGAAAAAAAAAACCCTAATTTTGATTTGTGGATTTTGAGATGAGGGTTTTGATAAAGGAGCGAAGCTAATATCGAAAAAGAGATTAAGTTTAATTAATTATAGAGAGTGAATGAAATGTTTTTAGATCAGTGACGAGTTGGAATCTGATCAACGTCTATCAAATCCAGCCTGTGTAACTTCACAAAACCTTAAATTATTATTATTTCGCTTTCTAATGTTTTATTTATTTTATTTTTGGAATCATCTATTTTTCTAAGTTGATATTCATTCAGTTTGTCACAGGTTTCATTACCCAATCTAATGATTTAAATGGACGGTTTATGATAATGATAAACTACAATATCATTTGTCGGCAAAGTTAGAGCTTACCTGGTACCACTACCAACTGCTAAAAAAAAGAGTTTCTCATTAGTATTTTGGTATGTCTTTTGTTTAGAGATTGATTGTCAACAACATTATTTTAATCTATATATTATTTCTGCCGATTTATCGAAATTAAGTTTCTACCATTGTATAATATATCAATATAAGTAGATATTGTATTGGTTATAGTGTTTTGTTCCTTTATGTTTTGGTATTTTTTTTGTTATGTGTTTTGAAGAGTTTATGTTCTCTATCGATCGAACTATCCCAATCTTTCGATAATGATATTGTGAGATACCAAAAAGAAAGAGTATTTCACCTCTCTTTTCTAACTACTATTTAGAGAAATCTAAAACATTTACATGATGAGAAGTTTTATTCCAGGTAAGGGAATGAAACTCACTTATCCCAAAAGACAACATATCACTAACTTATCCCAAAAGACAACATATCATCCAGATGATAAGTTCATATATGTATAATGGACCTGAGTTTACAAAACACCGACCCAGTAAAGGCCCAATATATCTGACCACTTGGCAAGAAACAAATGCATAACATAGGGCAGAGACAGACAGAGAAGCAAAGGCGTGGAAAGTTACAAAACCTTTCATAAAACTCACCTTATCCTTCCTTCTCCGACGAGTATCCAAAAAAAAATGGCGTCTACATTGGGAGTTCCATCTCTTTACAAACTTCCTCACCTCGAAACCTCAAAACCCATTTCCATAAACAGACCCACTTGCTTACCTCTTTCTCTAAATAACCCTTTCTTCTCCACTCCCATCTCTTTTCAAAGAACTCGTCTTCTCCACTCCTCTTCAGCCGTAGCAACTCCCAACTCTGTTCTCAGTGAAGAAGCTTTCAAAACCCTTGGTCTTTCCGACGAGTACGACGCAGAAGACGATGGTGAAGAGCTAGCTATCTCTAAACTCGGTTTGCCTCAACGTCTCGGGGAGTCTCTTGAGAATCGTGGTATCACTAACCTCTTCCCTATTCAGGTTTAAAGTCTTATCCTTTTATGTTCACTAGAAGGCTTTTAAGGGAACTGTCTTTATTGGTTTTTGGTATCTTGTGTTGTCTGAAGAGAGCTGTGTTGGTTCCTGCATTGCAAGGAAGAGACATTATAGCTCGTGCTAAGACAGGAACTGGGAAGACTTTAGCTTTTGGTATCCCTATCATTAAACGTCTCACTGAACAAGCTGGAGACTACTCTGAAGAGTTCAGGTCTTCTTTTTTTACTTTGCATCCCCATTTGTCTATACCATTGTTCTAAAAATGGGTCTAGGCAACAAATGGGTCCTAGCAGAAATGATTTTTTAAAAATCCTATTTATACAACTTCGGTTTAAACTTTTTTAAATCAGTTTAAAATGTTTTAAATTGGTTTAAATCGATCTAAATCAAGTAATAATGTTATTACAAACTCACAAATTTGTCTAATTTCTTTTGTTTTGGAGCGAGTTTTATAGTTCATCAAAATTAATCTGAAAAACTAATATATTATATAAATGTAAAATATCGGCCAAAATATTTAAACAAAAACTAGACTTATGATATGATGTTGTTATATTTCAATCAGTGCAACCGAATTGTAATTTTATTCAAAATAAATCAATAATTTGTTAAGGCCTACTCGTTATTCTTCTACAAAACAACCTTAGCAAATTTCTTAAATATTGGTTTACACTGACATTTGTATTCGGTTTTCTAAATGTTTTTTTGTTTTGCTTTATGAGTAGGAAGTCTGGTCGTCTTCCTAAGTTCCTTGTCCTTGCACCTACACGAGAACTGGCTAAACAAGTGGAAAAAGAAATCAAGGAGTCTGCGCCATATTTAAGCACTGTTTGTGTATACGGTGGTGTCTCTTACACCATTCAGCAGAGTGCTCTGACTCGTGGCGTTGATGTTGTTGTTGGAACTCCTGGAAGAATCATTGACTTGATAGAAGGAAGGAGCCTCAAGTTAGGTGAAGTTGAGTACTTGGTGCTTGATGAAGCTGACCAGATGCTTGCTGTTGGTTTTGAGGAGGCTGTTGAATCGATTCTTGAGAATCTCCCACAGAAGAGACAAAGCATGCTTTTCTCAGCTACTATGCCTACTTGGGTTAAGAAGTTGGCTAGGAAGTATCTTGACAATCCCTTGAATATTGATTTGGTAAAAGCTTTTTTTTTTCTTTTGCTTGCCTCTTTGTTCCTTCTCATTATTAAAGTCAAAATATCTTTATATAAATGTAAAATATATATATAAAATAAATCAATAATTCGTTAATGTCTAGTTCCGAATATCCGCCTAATCGCTAGTCCTCTACAAAATGCGTACTTAATGATATTTTTTTGGAACATTGCTTAAGGCTATCTTCTTGTTTCTTTTACTGGATTTTTGTAGGTTGGAGACCAAGATGAGAAGCTAGCAGAGGGGATCAAACTCTATGCAATCTCAGCTACATCAACCTCAAAACGCACTATTCTAAGTGACCTTATAACAGTATGATCCATCTTCTAATTAGCTATATCCTTAAAACTTTTAGCTCTAGATTGATCTTTTATATTTAAAAAAAAACTTGAAGGTGTATGCAAAGGGTGGCAAGACCATTGTGTTTACACAAACAAAAAGAGATGCAGACGAGGTCTCTCTAGCGTTATCAAACAGTATAGCTTCTGAAGCACTTCATGGAGATATCTCTCAGCATCAAAGAGAGAGAACACTCAACGGTTTTCGCCAAGGAAAGTTCACGGTTCTAGTTGCTACTGATGTTGCATCTCGTGGACTTGACATCCCCAACGTAGATCTCGTAAGTTTTTCAAAGCTTTAGTACATATTGTATATCCTCTTTGTTCTGACATTTTCTTTCTACAGGTTATCCACTATGAACTTCCTAATGATCCAGAGACTTTTGTGCACCGTTCTGGTCGTACTGGGCGTGCAGGGAAAGAAGGTTCAGCTATTCTCATCCACTCTAGTAGTCAAAAGAGAACAGTGAGGTCTCTGGAGCGTGATGTAGGCTGCAGATTTGAGTTTATTAGCCCACCAACTGTTGGAGAGGTGTTGGAAGCTTCAGCAGACCAAGTGGTGGCTACTTTAAACGGTGTTCACCCTGAGTCTATAAAGTTTTTCTCAGCAACTGCTCAGAAACTTTTTGAGGAAAAAGGAACAGATGCTTTAGCTGCAGCTCTAGCTCACCTCAGTGGTTTCTCTCAGCCACCTTCATCTAGATCTCTCCTCAGTCATGAACAGGTTTACTTCTCATTCATGAAAACAAATGAGAGGGCATTTTTATTTTTAGAGTGCTTCTTGAGAGTCATGTAAACTTCAATCATGTGTTGAAGTTAAGGTTTTTGGTTTGCAGGGATGGGTGACTTTGCAGTTGATAAGAGATCCAACAAACTCTAGAGGTTTCTTGTCTGCGAGATCTGTCACTGGTTTTCTTTCAGACGTATACGGTCCAGCTGCAGATGAAGTTGGAAAGATCTTCTTGATTGCAGATGAAAGGGTTAGTATCATTTCAATCATCAGTTTTTTTTTCAAAACTATAGTCTTATTAGAAATCTCTGTTTCTGCTAACATATCAGTTGCAAGGAGCTGTTTTTGATCTACCAGAGGACATAGCGAAAGATCTACTAGAGAAAGAAATGCCAGAAGGAAACAGTGTAACCATGATTACAAAGGTAATTTATACAACATAACATATTCATAATAAGACTCTTTTTTTTACTAACAACTCTTATGGGTTTTGATTGTTAGTTGCCTGCGTTGCAAGACGATGGACCGTCTAGTGATAACTATGGACGGTTCTCTAGCAGAGACAGGATGCCTAGAGGAGGAGGAGGTTCTAGAGGGTCAAGATTTGGAGGTAGAGGAGGCTTGTCACGAGGACGTGATAGTTGGGGAGGTGATGATAACAGAAGAGGTAGAAGCAGTGGTGGTGGAGGAAGTAGCTGGTCACGTGGTGGTGGTGGTTCCAGAGGAAGTTCTGATGATTGGTTGATTGGTAGTGACAGAAGATCATCATCAAGCAGCAGAGCTCCTTCCCGTGAGAGGTAAGTTTTCTTTTTTTTTGTTTGAGCTTCAAACAAATCTATGTTAAAATCTGCGCACTTGCCATATTCAACTGATTGATTGATGTTATGTAAATTAGGAGTTTTGGAGGTGCTTGCTTTACTTGTGGAAGTTCAGGACACAGGGCAGCAGATTGTCCTGACAAAAGAGGGTTTTAAGTGTTCTTGATTAATGGTTTCTGCTCTTTTGAGAGAGAGAGAGATCCCTTGTCTTTTTGGTGTTCTTGATACATATCCTATAGTTCTTGATTCAACCGTTTGTTTCAGACGGTAGAGAGTGGAATCACTGAGGATGTATGTTTCAGACAAGGGTTAACTACAAACATAGTACAGAAAAAGGACAGGGAGAAAACATAAGGGAGAAGGTTTTCATCAGTTTCAGAGATTGCTTCAGAAACACGGCAAAGCTGGTGGATCTTTGTATTTTTAGGTTATTATAGTGATCAGGTTTCATGTCTCTGAGTTTTGTATGATCAAGTGGTTAGGAGTCTATTTACACTATTTTCTGTACGTTTATGTTATATGTGAATCTTGATAGCATGTGTTTTGACAGAATATGGTCTATGTCCTTATAATTTTTTTTAAAAAAATTTTGAATAGACCTGTACCACAAATACAGATATATAATCAAAGATTTTCATAATTCTCAAAATTTTACTTCTTGAAAACAAATATAGAAGACATCTTATATAGAACTTAGACACAAATCACAAATAGAAGTGAGAAAGATCAAACGGTTGGGGAAGGTGATGAAGATGTTGTTGGTTTAGCAAGTCGTTTTGGGAGACCACATTTTGGCAAACACTCTTCATAACAAGGCTTGTTTTGTTTGCCACATCTAATGGAACAGTTTGTGAAGCAAAAGAATCTTGAGTCTTGTGTTGGTTTGCTATCCTCACCATCATCAACATTAGGTTTCATTCCATTGCATGCTTGTAAAACAAACCCCATCATTATCAATGCCATGACCATGTACACCTTTCCCGCCATTTTTCTCTCACAAGTTTCTTTTGTTCAAAACAAAAGCTCTAGGACTTGTGTTTATTGTATGAGATGTGTAGATTGGTGATAGAAAGGAAGGTGTTTATATATTGAGTTTTTGCCTCTATATATAGTATATTTTGTTTGTTTCTGTTTGTGGTTTTTGTTGTTTGATATGTAAGTTTGGTTAGATTTCTGTCTGGTTTGACATAAATAGAATTTTGTTTTTGCTAAATGACATAAATAGAATTGGCTAACTATTGTTTGAACTGTATTCTTGTTATTTCATTTTTTTTGTCATGATGTACCTTTTTTGGACACTGGTTAATTATGCGTTACAAACTATGAGAAATATTACATAGACAATATTACAGTCGACAATTCTATAAGACATATGGATACACGTTTGACTGCATCACCCTGAACCGTCCTATGAGATCCATTCCTGACGGTACTCTTTGCGTCATGCTAAAGATCTCTTGTTTGTTTTTTCTCCAGTAATCTGCATAATTCGTCATTCACCTTCTTCGGGAATAGAAACTGTGTATTTTGGGATTCGAACCCCAGACCTGGTGTAGAAACCTTTAAACCTTAACCATTAGGCCACGGTGCTTCCACCATGATGTACTTTAGTGGCTGGAAAATATGAAAATATATGAGGTAAAGTATTAAGTTCACAATATTTGTTCAATATAAAACTTTAAATTAAACTACTATGTATTTTAGATGGTATATAGTTTAATTTAATGTCTTAAAAATTAGTAATGATATTTCTTACTCATTGATTTTATAAGCCTTTGTATCTTGTTATAATTTTTTAAATTATTAATAAAAAATATTCTATGCGGAATTTTTAAAGCTCATATTAATTTATAGTCGTTTTACAAAATTCAAAATATAACATATACGAGAAAAACATATACGAAAAAATCTCATTTTAATTATATATTTAATTTATTTTCTCAATATAAATTTAACAAAAAGAATAGAGACTACATAATTATTTATCAAATATTTCTTATTCAAATAATTAATTATCATATATATACTTTAACCATATTAGGTAATTCCATATTTTTATTCAAGGAAATAATGAAAGTAATAATAATGGTGTTTTAGTTTAATAAAAAATATATTATATATTTACATGGATCAATATTTATCTCTAAGAACTTTGAAAATCATTCTAGTGATGACATATTTCATAGCTAAAATGTCGTAATGCTTATCTTTTAATATATATGAGATTCCACAATACATTTAGAGAATGAGCTTAAATAGTCTCAAAACAAGTTTTTACTCCTAAAAAAGCTATCAAAGTTAAAATGATCAAAATAGGTTTCATAAAAAACAAATCAAAATTATGTTTTTTTAAATATTCAAAAAATGTTCAAAAATATTCAAAAACAAAAATCAAATTCTTCTCAAATGTTTTTTATTTGAAATAGTATCTATCAAATAATTAAAAAATATCTTCCTAAATATATATGATATATTTCTGAATGGGTATAATATATTTATGAATTTGAGTCTAGGAAGACTTTCCTAATAAGTATAATACATTCCTAAAATTTAGGAAGATATTGATAAATATGTATGATATTCTCATAAAATTTGGAAAAATCTTCATAGATGTGTATGTAGAAATACATTCTTAAATGTGTATTCAAGAAGACATTCATGAAAATATATTTATGAATATCTTAGTGAATTTTGAATTATATGTATATTTAGTAAGATATTCTTAAATATGTATACAATTTTCCTAACTAGAGCTTCAGAGAGTGCATCTGTTCCCTCATCCTCCAAGTTCAGGTAACTCATATAGATCTCAGTGTTAACTTGAAGAGATGAAATGGACACAACAAGCTTTAAGAGTGAAGATGGTCCATGGTGTAAGAATAGGGTGGAAGACTCTAGGAATGTTCAGAAGCTTATACAAAGCTAAGAAAGAGTCCAAGATGAGTTCACAAGTCTTGGAAGAAGGCTGTGGAATGATTTGGGGTCCGTACACTCCCTAGATAAGGTGACT